CACTGTCCAAACTGTTAAATTTAGCTTTTTTTTTTTACTCCAACAGCTTCATGTTTCGCACTTCTCGCCTGTGGAATCCCTTTTTTTTAAGATTTCCCTGATAGTATAATCTCCAACTATTCAAATGTAAATTTCAAATGTAATTTCAATTGATGTCTCCAGATACCTTGATCTATCTTTCTCTTCATCTTTTCCTCTATCATTCTTATTTGCTCTTGCTCCAACTCTCTAACCCCAAAATAATTTTAAATATATATATTCTCTCCTATGCTTATCATAAATTGAAAAAAAAAAAAAAAAAAGAAGAAAAAATGACTTCATGTGTTCTATTGTTCTCATTACATTTTGATGGGGGTGACAAGACTTTCAGTCTACCCTGTATATTTAAAAGAAAGAACAAAGCAAAAACAAAACAAACAATTCATTTATTATTTAAATACTATTAGAATAAATACTTATACACATACACACACACACATATATATATATATATATATATATATATAATTAAGTATTCTACTGTTTGATGTCTGATTTGAATTTGTCTCTGAATTTAGATCTATGCTATTCCTCTGAACTTGCAAGAAAGTAATTTGCATGCATATATTCATGACTTTTAAAGATGCAAATTTCATTTGTAATCTTTGGTTTAAATCTTTTCCATGGTTCCTTTGTTTGCTGTTTACATTTTGTTGAAACCCATCATTTTCAACAGAATAACCGTTATAGCAATTGTTGTCATTTTAATCTTAATTATCACTGACATACTGCTTAACATTATCATCATTACCAACACCAAATATACAAGCATATTGTCTATCATCAGTATTATTGTTTACATTGCTGATTACAATGATGATGATGATATTACATCATCATTGATATGGTTGAATTGCCATGTCCCAAAAGCAAACAAAATTTGTGGCTTTCTCTACAGCAAGACCAGCACAACTAAAACTTGAACACTATTTACATTATTTAGCTGCGGAAAAAAAAATATAAAGGGGAGAGGCCACCCACCTTAAGGTAAGGCTTCAAGAACACCAAAAAGCTGTAACATGAGGGGAAGTGGAAAAGTCAGGCATGGCTGACCATATATGGAGAGAAAAGGGAGATCACTGCCCTCTGAGGATCAGGTTGAGATCATAGACAAAGAACATCATTGGAAAATATGAAAACTTAAGGAATCAGCACATATTCTAGGCCACAAAAAAATACAATATGTGAACTAGTAAAAAAGGAATGCAAAGAAAAAATAACAACAAATTTTTAAAATATGAGCATTTAAAAAAAAAATGGTTTTGAAAAATATGGTAGATTTAAAAAATACCCAGAAATTCATACACAGATGTCTTCAAGGACACATAGCACATTGGATATAGGTGTTAGTTAGATCCAGAGACAGGACCCAAAGAGTGTGAGTTCAATACCCGGAGAACTTGGAGAGGGGAATTAACAGGAGATAACTGATAATTGACATCCATTGGAACTAGAACAGTCTACCCCACTGGTTCAGTTCGACATGCCAACCACCTGAAGTGTACAGCATACAACGGTCGAAATGTTGTGATAAATATGGCGACAAAGATGAGGACAATAGTCCAAAGAATGTAAATAATGTACATAATACTTCATCTCAGAAATATAGACAGATACTAAAATTTGGATATCACTACTTACATATTTATGTTCTTTGACAATGGGCAAGCTAGTTTGGTTTACCATTACTAGTGAGTCTTGAGTTCAATCTTCACTTGATGTCCCATATTTGTTGCTAACCTTAGCAAATGGCAAATTCTATCTTTGCTCTGTAGTCAGTCTGTCGAGCATCATACGCAATATTCCATTTTTAATCCATGACTGACTAGGCAGAACATTTTTTTGCAGTAGGTTATCGTTTCTTTCTGTGGTAGACTGGCTGCCAATCAAGGCTAGAGAACCCACTCTGTCCTTCTATTCAACCCATAGCTAGGGTGAGAAGAGATGGATCTCATACCTTTCGCAGAGGTATTTCCATTTAAGTGAATATAACAAACTCAACTGGAACGTGAACTCTGCTCTCCAATTTTTCGTTCCAAGCCAATATCGATTACACTATAATGCACATCTGCTCTGTAGGCGAGGCTTTAAAATACAGGGTGCGATAGGTAAATTGTCGCCATTTTATATTTTTAATTTTGAGTATGCAATATATTTTTTATTTTGTCAACTGCCCAGTATCATAGAATCAGTCAGTTTTCTGTGATAAAAAGAACACTATGACACAATTCACTCTGTCGGGATTTGGAAAGAGAGGTGTCAACCTGAGGACAGTGCAGAATATCCGGAGGGAGTTGGGGAAGTCTAATGGTGATTAGGAAGATGTTTGGAGTGATCACTAGTGACGGTGACATTATGTCTCCATTCATCTACCCACAAGACCTCGGGCTCAACACGGAAGCCTACACCAAATGCCTTGAGGAGGTAATGCTGCCCTGACTCAAGAGGGAGCCTGTCTCTGCACGATGCCACACAAGCAAGAGAACCTAGTCATGGCTGTCAGACAATTTCTGCGACGACATCACCCCTGATATCTGGCCACCTAACTCTCTAGACTACAACCCCCTTAATTATTATTATGTGTGGGGCACAGTTGAGCAAGAGTCCAACAAAACTCCTTGTAACACCATAGATGAACTAAAGGCAAGGATTATGGCAGCATTCACTAACTTAAACAAGGAGACTGTCCAGAAGAGTTGCAAGAGATTCAAAAGTCATCTGGAGGCTGTGGTTGAAGCCAATGGGGATTTTATTGAATAAATTTACTATTTAGTATTTCAAGATATTTTTGTGCAGTTTTGGTAAATATATCATTTAAAAGATGTCAGTGTTATTTTCATTTATGCATAACTTAGATGACAAGTTATCCATCGCAACCTGTATATATACATTGTGGCCAAGGGCTTGAGTGTGCTGGCCTTATTCAAACTGTTGATCATGCGAGATAACATGCACTTTCCCAGAAACTGTAACTAAGGTCTGCTCAGTATAGTTGCAGTATAAACCACAGAAGAATTTCCTTGGGTGTTGAATAAACACAAATGCATTTCAAGGAAACGTCTGCAATAGGGATTTCTTAACTCAATAGTAGATGGGTATAAAAAATTACATATATATATATATATATATATATATATATATATAATTTTTTTTTTTTTTTTTATATATATATATATATATATATGTTTCTCACTAGTAAAAAAACAAATATATATTTATTATTGATATGAATTTTACTGTTATTTTACATAAAGCACTGTTTTATTACCACTAGCACTCTTTCTCTTTTATTTTCTGTGTCCCTTCAGGACCAAGTGGGTCATGGCCCTCCACATCTTCCTGTCTCTTGTAGCTCTTAATAAATTTGGTCTTTTTGTTATTTCTCCTAAACCATGTTTTATCTATTTCTTCAAGCATATCAAGTATGTTATACACTGTTTTCTTCTGGCCTTCTTTCCTACAATCTGTCCTGTGAGTTTCAGATTTTCCAATCCCTCCTTCCACATTACATATCCTAGAAATTTCAACTGCCTCTTCTTGATATTAGATATTAGTTTCCTTTTGTTTCCATTTTCTCCAAAACTTCTGTAGAACTACATCTCTATTGCTTCAAGTCACTTCTTCATCTTTAAGGAAATTGTCCAGCATTTGCTGCCATACAGGAGGACAGATATCACATAACAGTTGAATACTCTTTTCTTTGCTTTCCAACAAAATTTTTCTGTCTCTTAATACACTGCTTAGCTTTTGGAATGCATCTTTGACCATCCCAATACAACTTCAGATCTCAGACCCTAACCGTTGCTACCACCCCAGGTCAGGATGGAACTGTGAACACCAGCAATTAGGAGGTGGTTCCATGCTCCTCAAAGCCTCCTGATCAGAGACCTTGCTGTTGGATGTAGTTAATCGTCATACCCAGGATGGTCACAGTATAGGTTGAATAAGTCTGGTGAGATGACACATTGTTGTCTCCGATGTTGTCTTTTCTATTTCTGTGTATCTGCTGGACTCTTTTTTGGTCTGTATGCAGGCAGTTTGCTGCCAGTATAGGTCACTATTGTCTAGTGTGTGTGTGTGTGTGTGTGTGTGTGTGTGTGAGAGAGAGAGAGAGAGAGAGAAAGAGGTAGTTTGGTTAAAGACTTGCATATTTTTGTTTTATTTTCCTCTATATTTTAAACCATTTTTTTGTTTCCAATGAAAATTTGAATCTAAATTGTCATATGTATCAATACTTTTTGTTTTCATTAACAAAATGTTTTTATTACAATCTATATAGTTGCAGCATTGTCAACAAAATATTTTATGCAACAAATATTCATTTTTCATTGTACTCTTCTTCCTTGTCAATGCACTTAATTCAGTGATGAATATTAATCATATACATCGACCACAATATGATGAATTTTTCATATGCAGTTAAAATTCCACTAATAACTTTGTCTTGTTCATCCACCATTGTGTAACTCACAGATATCTCCTTTTTTTTATTCCTTTAGTTTTTTTCTTTTATTTCAATTTTTTCACCTTTTTATTTTATCTTCACTTTTTCACCTTAGCTGCTTTGGCTGTCTCTTTCTTGACTGTTTTCTCCACATTTTTCATTTTTAGCTATTTTATTTCTCCATTCTCTGATTCCTCAATGACTGTTTCTCTAATTTTTTTAATTTTTTTTTCTGATATTCATCTTTGTTTCTTTGCTTATTGCTTTCTTTCTTTGACTTTTGAATTTCCTCTTTCTTTTTTTCTTTCTTTAACCATTACACTTCTTTCTTTCATTTTCTCTGCATTTCTTTTTTTATCTTTATACACTTATTTATTACTTTCTTTGATTTGGGATTTTCTTTTGTTTTTGCATTTCTCTCTTTCTATCAATTTGTCTTTTTCTTTTTGTCCTTTTTGTTTCTTTCTTTTTTCTTTTTCACTTGTTCATTCTGTCTTTGATTTTTGCATTTCTCTCTATGAAATCGACTTTTTCTTTCTTTAACTTTTACCCTTTCTTTCCTTACTCTCTCCTTTTCTTTGATCTTTATACATTTCTTTCTTACTTTTATGATTTTGCATTTTTCTTCCTTTCTTTGTCTTTTTCATTTTTTACTTTGTTTGATTTTTGCCTTTCTCTATCGCCATCAGCTCTTTTTTTGTCTTTTGTAATTTCTTTCAAACTGTCTTTGCATTTCTTTTTCTTTCTTTCTTTGATTTTTGCATTTCACTTTTTTTTTTTTTTTTTTTTGATTTTTGCATTTCATTTTTTTGTTTTTTTCTTTCTTTCATTTTTGCATTTCACTCTTTCAAACTTTTTCTTTCTTTCTTTCATTTTTGCATTTCACTCTTTCAAACTTTTTCTTTCTTTCTTTCATTTTTGCATTTCACTCTTTCAAACTTTTTCTTTCTTTCTTTCATTTTTGCATTTCACTCTTTCAAACTTTTTCTTGGTTTTCTTGGTTTTTTTGCATTTCTTTCTTTCAAACTTTTTTTTTTCTTTCTTTCATTTTTTGCATTTTCATTTTTCAAACTTTTTTCTTTCTTTTCTTTCTTTTTTGCATTTCACATTTTCAAACTTTTTTCTTTCTTTTCTTTCATTTTTGCATTTCATTTTTTCAAACTTTTTCTTTTCTTTCTTTCATTTTTTGCATTTCCTCTTTCATTTTTCAAATTTTCTTTCTTTCTTTCATTTTTCATTTTTTTTTCAAATTTTTTTTTTTTCTTTTCTTTTTTTTGCATTTGAATTCTTTCAAACTTTTTCTTTCTTTCTTTCATTTTTGCATTTCACTCTTTCAAATTTTTTTTCTTTTTTTTTTCATTTTTGCATTTTCTTTCAAATTTTTTTCTTCACAAATTTCATTTTTGCATTTCACTCTTTTTTTTTTTTCTTTCTTTCTTTCATTTTGCATTAAAATTTTCAAATTTTTTCTTTCTTTTTTTCATTTTTGCATTTCACTTTTTCAATTTTTTTTTTCTTTCTTTTTCTTTTTGCATTTCTTTCAAACTTTTTCTTTTTTTCTTTCTTATTTTTGGTAACAAACTTTTTATTTCTTTTTCTTTCTTTCTTTTCATTTTTGCATTTCACTCTTTTTCAAACTTTTTTTTTCTTTAATTTTCATTTTTGCATTTCCTCTTTCAAACTTTTTCTTTCTTTCTTTCATTTTTCATTTTTTAGGTTTTTCAAACTTTTTCTTTCTTTCTTTCATTTTAATTTCAATTTTTCAAACTTTTCTTTCTCATTTCATTTTTGCATTTTTCCTTTCTTTCAAACTTTTTTTTTCTTTCAGAATTTTCATTTTGCATTTCAAAAATTTCAAACTTTTTTTTTCTTTCTTTCATTTTTTTTGCATTTAACTCTTTCAATTATTTTTCTTTTTTCTTTCATTTTTGCATTTCACTTTTCAAACTTTTTTTTCTTTCTTTCATTTTTGCATTTCTTCTTTCAAACTTTTTTTTTTCTTTCTTTCATTTTTTCATTTAATTTTTCTTTCAAACTTTTTCTTTTTTTTCTTTCATTTTTGCATTTTCTTTTTCAAACTTTTTTCTTTCTTTCTTTCATTTTCAAATTTCACTTTTTTTTTTTTTTTTTTTCTTTTCTTTTTCATTTTTGCATTTCATTTCTTTCAAACTTTTTTTTTTTCTTTCAAATTTTGCATTTTTTTGCAAACTTTTTTCTTTTTCTTTCTTTCATCAAACTTTTTCTTTTTCTTTCTTTCTTTCATTTTGCATTTTAATTTCTTTTCAAACTTTTTCTTTCTTTCTTTCATTTTTGCATAAAACTCTTTCAAACTTTTTCTTTTCTTTCTTTCATTTTTTTTTTCACTCTTTCAAAATAGAATTTCTTTCTTTCATTTTTGCATTTCATTCTTTCAACTTTTTTTTCTTTCTTTCTTTCATTTTTGCATTTCACTTTTCAAACTTTTTCTTTCTTTTTTCATTTTGCATTTTCTTTCAAACTTTTTTTTTTCTTTCTTTCAAATTTTTTTCTTTCTTTCATTTTCAAATTTTTTTTTCAAATTTTTTTTTTATTTTTTTCAAAGTTTTTTCTTTCTTTTCTTTCATTTTTGCATTTCAAACTTTTTTTTCTTTTTTTCATTTTTGCATTTCATTTCTTTTTTTTTCTTTCAAATTTTTTTTTTTCTTCTTTTTTCAAACTTTTTCTTTTTTCTTTCTTTCATTTTGCATTTTTTTCTTTTCAAACTTTTTTGAATTTCATGAAATTTTGCATTTCAATTTTTCAAACTTTTCTTTCTTTCTTTCATTTTGCATTTCACTTTTTTATTTTTTTTTTCTTTCTTTCTTTCAGTATTTTTTCATTTGAAGGTCCTCTTTAAAACTTTTTTTTCTTTTCTTTATTTTTTCATTTTTGCATTTAACAAATTTTTCAAACTTTTTTCTTTTTTTTTTCTTTCATTTTTGCATTTCACTCTTTCAAACTTTTTTTTTTTCTTTCTTTTATTTTTTTTTGCATTTCACTCTTTTTTTTTTTTTTCTTTCTTTCTTTCATTTTTGCATTTCATTTTCTTTAAAAATTTTTCTTTTTTTCATTTTTGCATTTTCTTTCATTTTTTCTTTCATTTAATTTCACTCTTTTTCAAACTTTTTTTTTTCTTTCTTTATTTTTTTTTCTTTCTTTCAAACTTTTTCTTTCTTTGATTTTTGCATTTCTCTTTTTCAAATTGGAAATTTTTTTTCTTTCTTTGATTTTTGCATTTCACTCTTTCAAATTGACTTCTTTCTTTTTATGAAATTGTTTTTTTCTTTCTTTCTTTGCATGTCATATGAAACCTGCTTCAGCAAGTTAATGTTTCAGACCAATATGACAGTAGTGAGATTTATTTCCATTTAGTACCTCATTTTTGTGACCTTGTGCCAGACTAAGCTCTATTAAATACCTACTGTTGGCCTTGACATGGAGCATAGATTAGCGTAGACTGCTGTGACTATAGTGAATTCTGAGTAACGACTAATAAACATCAATAAAATTCAGAATGCAGGCACATGTTTTGAAATGTAATTCTCAATGATTTAACAGAATTGCATTTGGTATCAAATAAAAACTTCAGAATCTTACTAATCAATTTCTTCTGTTAATCACCAGGGTCTTCGGTGTCACAAACCAGGTGTAACTGAAGAGTTATCTGAAAATCTTTTATTGTATTTTTCAATCAATGTCGAAAACAGCTGGTCGTTCTTCACGTCACATTTTCCTAATGAATTGTTTGCAACCAGTTCATTAATCTTCAGTGCTCAAGAGAATTTTTTAAAAACATTTGTGCCAGTTGTACAAGGCTTGTCTGCCAAGAACTTTATCACCAAAGTTCTCTTACATCATTGCTAGCATCTCTGTGATAGTGTTACCCTCCAAATTTATCCTAAAAATCTCAGCGCATGTGCAAACTAACCAACCTACTCCACATAAACCTCACACCCAACAGACTTCTTAGCATATCGATTTGAGTAAATTTGTCAAGCGGATTTTATTTGCTCAAGCCAAAATTCTAAGTGCTCTAGTAAAAATTTTATTGCCATGCTGACTTTGTAAAGAAAAACTCATCGAAATGAAAATTTATGTCTCAGTTACTTTTTTTTTTTCATGTTTCTATTGTATTTCATTCAATATAAGTGTTATATATATATATATATATATTAGTTGTGTGAATATGAGCTTGTGACCTGGGGTTTCATGCTTTTGTGATCATCAGACAAACTGGTTTATTTTTTAAAATTGGATCTATTTATTGATTTTCTAAGTGTGGCTTAGATGTGGCACATGGCTGAAAGTATGGGGCACCCAGTGAGGGTCAAACTCACTATTCAGTTGTAACTGTTTTAGCGAGACCAGCTTGCTAACCATTAAACCACACTGAGTTGCCAAAATTGTATCTATTTATGCTTGTTTGACTATGTTCGGTGGCAGGAGGGGGAATCTGCTTCTGTGTTTGTTTGAGGTGGCACTATCATATGCATAGACACATACATACAGATGTATATATTTTTAGTTTTAAAAAATAAACTAGATTGTCTGATGATTGCAAACGCGTGAAACCCAGGGCCACAAACTCATGTCTATACAATTTATTATTAGCTCTATCACTGATATTGAGTGTTTTCCACTAAGTAGTATGCATATAATATATATAAATAAATAAAAGGAAGAGGTTATAGTATTTACAATGAGAGAAAAGTGTGTATATTAAAAAGAAGAGAGAAATCATCTTTTGTTGAGATTTGTGGATCACAAAAAATATGTTATGCTTTATTTTCCATAATTTTGCTACATGAGTTTCCAGTCTTGCGATCATTATCAGGCAAAATTATGGAAAATAAAGCATAATATTTTTTAAAAAAATCCACATTACAACCAAAAATGTTTGTGGTTTCTCTCTTCTTTTTAATATATATATATATATATATATATATATGTGTGTGTGTGTGCATTATTTTAATCAGGTATTACCCTATGCAAGGCAGTAAAGCCACTAAAACACAAAGGGTTACAGGTTGTGGAAGAATCAGGAAGAGAAACATTAATAATGAGTAGAAAGAGAAATGAGTAATCAGGAGGATAGTAGATAGTGATTGACACAGCACTTACATTTTTGCAGATTAATGTTCGCTAGAAAGCACAGAGCTGGAAAGGAGTTCCACAAGTGAGAAGTGCAAGAAAAGAAGCTATTAACATAGAATTTACGGCTACATTTAGCCAGCTCAACCATAAATTGATGAGATCTCAATCCCAGTCTAGTACATTTCTTAAATTCAAAAAGTCTAGGTACCATAGCGAAGAGCTCATCTGAACAATTACCATGAAAATATTTATAGAAATGACACAAGAAGTAACCCTGTGGTGGTGGAAAAGTGACTGAAGCTGAGCTACCAGATCAGGACCAATAATATTGCTGATTCTTCTTTGGATCTTATCAAGCAGCATATATGATAAAATATAGTCTTAATGTATGCTTTATTTGTAGTTTAAAGTGCTCAGTATCAGAGATAGAGAATATGTAAATATGAGAGTTGACATTAAAGTCAACACCCAGTGGCAAATATCTGTTTCATAGAAAATGCAATTGATTCAATATACATTAAAACACACACATATATATATATATATATATATATATATATGTGCATGTGTGTCCAGATAGTGTAATGCTTAGCAGCTTGTAAAGACAAACTGGCGAGCCAAGTTCAAATTCCATCCGAGTTTGTTCCATTTATTTTTGCACAAATATACTTTGGAAATGTAAGACTCCATATCTTCTCTCCCAGGTATGGGTTCAATAGCAGGGCAGACTGGGAACTCTTGCTTTGGTTGGTAATTTGTCTATGAGAAGGAAGACTCTGAATTCAAACCTGAGGAGAGCTACTTAGAGACTTCTTGGCCAATTGTGTACCATTTCTCTTTTATCAGTCTTTTGAAAAACATGACTGGTTCCTCTATATATATATATATATATATACACACAGGGCCAGATTTTGATGAAGGTAGGCCCTAAACTATTCCACTATTGAGGCTCCTCATATTACTGCATTCTCACAAGTAAAAGGAAATGGAAGAGTGTTAAATTAAATGATTTGAGTAAAGCTGAGGATGATGAAGGGGTGTTTAAAAGCCTACAATGCATTATGACAGTGTCAAAAATATTATACAATTTGGCTGGAGGCCATCTAGATTTTGAGGCCCTAGGCTTCAGCCTGCTAAGCTTATAGGTAAATCCACCACTGTGTATATATAACTATGAACCTAAAGAGCCAGGCAAACCTACCTAGGTTTACACCTAGGCAGATCATCAGGGTACGCCAACCAAAGAGGTAACATTAGAACATATTTTTTTGGACTCTGATCTTGGATACTGGTCAATTGTTTTTGTCTGAATTACATGTTCTTAGTTCTTTCTTTTTTTATTCCTTATTTTTCCTTGGGTATTGGTTTATTCAGTTACAAGCCAAAACACCTAAGGTTTTTCCAGACGAATATACTTACTTATATTTATAAGATTATTATATATATATAAAACATAAAAGGTTTATGGTCAGAGTTGAATCAGACCAGGAAACAATAATATTAAAAAGTGCTCAATACACATGTGAAAAAATACAATAAAAGTAAAAATAACATGTAAAGCTTTTAACTTTAAAAATCAGGTCAGTTGAATCTGCTACTTTGGTTTCAACCTTACAGCATCTTCAGGCAATTTTTTTTTATCAAATGACTTCTTAACGCTTTGTTTTTTTTAAAAAAAATCTAATGAACACTATATTATTTTTTAAGAAATAAATAAGAATAAAAAAAAAAATCTTCTGGTGCAAATATATTCTTGCTCTTATGAAGTTTGAATTCTCCTGCTGATGATTCAAAATTGTGTGTTGAAATTTGTTGTGTAGAATATTAGAATTAACAATAATTTATACCATTCAGATTCTTAAGTTTGAAAGGTGAAGAATTAGAAAAAAATTTGCTTTTAAATTTATATACTTATTTCAATTTAAATTTGGATTTAAATAATTTTACAATTTTTTTTCCAGTTTTTAATCTGTATCATATAAATTATTAACAGTTAAGTATAATATTTTTGCTTGGGTTTTTAAAAAAATAACATATAATAAAAATATAGTTTTAAGGTATGCTATATTTATGGATAAAAGTGCTCAATATCAGTGATAAAGTGTATGTAAATATAAAAGTGGACACTGAGGTTAACACCAAGCTGTGACAATCTGTTTCATGCTCCAGTGCAATCTTCTGGCCATGATGGTTAATGGTGCATCATGGGTATTAGCTAGGTGGGATTATGGCCATATCATGTTAAAACACCAGTTCTCGTATGATCAACAAGGTTAAGCAACATCAAGCCTGGTCAGTACCTAGATAGGTGATTGTTTGGGAATACCAGGTGCTGTAAGTTCAGATGTGCAGGTGGTGTAATGGATAATGGCTCAGAATTGTTAATTGGAGAACCGAGTTCCTGTTCATGTTATGTTCATTATATTCACTTACATACAAATTCCCTTGGGAAAGGTATGGATGTATCTTTTCTCGCCACCAGCAATGGGTCAATTAGTAAAACTGGTATCACTAAATAAAAATAGTTTCTAGCTTTAAATACCTTCAAAGGGTTGATAAGCTGTAAAAAGCCAACTAGTCAATCAATCGGGTAGGTTTCAAATTATTCTAGAGGTGATTGAGTGCGAATAATTGTGGATCTGAATGTCGTTATTTGTAGCTATTTCATAGTGGTGTTTGTTAATTTATTACTCATTTATTATTCATGACTTTCTTATTTGTTATTATTATAGTTACTTGTGTTTACACCCTTGTGTAAATTAATTGAAACAACAGCAATTAAGAGGTGATTCCATAATCCTCAAAACCTCCTGATCAGAGGCCTTATTGTGGGATGTAGTTTATTGTCATACCCAGGATGGCAAATGTGTTGTGTTTTGGCTTGACTTTTTAAAATATACTGGTCAACGGTACTACATTATGGGCACTAAGGTCTATCATATTATCCTAATGGTTATTGGGTAGGGAGCTTTTATGTTTCAAATTATTCTAGAGGATATTGAGTGGGAATAATTGTGGATCTGAATGTCGTTATTTGTAGCTATTTCATAGTGGTGTTTGTTAATTTATTACTCATTTATTATTGATGACTTTCTTATTTGTTATGATTGTTATTGTCATGGTGTTCTCCCTCTAAGAGTCTATGTTATACTCTTCCGCCTACTATAAGTTTAGTAGGAGAAAAGGTTCAGTGAACTGTGAATAGATTGAGCGCTAGTTCATTTGATATACTCTTACTAGTCATGTAACTCAGTTTTTTTATTACTTAACCATTTACTTGGTAACAACAATTATTATTATATTTAATTGTGTTTACACCCTTGTGTAAATTAATTGAAAGAAAAGCAATTAAGAGGTGGTTCCATGATCCTCAAATCCTTTTGATTAGAGGCTTTATTGTGGGATGTAGTTTATTGTCATACCCAGAATGGCAAGTGTGTTGTGTTTTGGCTTGACTATTTAAAATATACTGGTCAATGGTACTACATTATGGACCCTAAGGTCTATTGTATTATCCTAACAGTTATTGGGTGAGCAGAAACGTTTATGTTTCAAATCATTCTAGGAGTTACTGAGTAGAATTAATTGTGGTCCTGAATGAGGTTATTTGTAGCTATTTTATAGTGTTGTTTGTTAATTTATTACTCATTTATTATTGATGATGATGCAATCTTTCAGCCATGCTGGTTAATGGTGCATCATGGGTATTGGGTAGGTAGGCAACTTTTGCTAACTATATGCCCACTTAGAGTTTTAAAATCATTCAGTGTGCCAAGAGTATACATATTTTTATACAAGTCAAGGTCAATATACCTGTTCTACAATATATTTTATATAGCAATATATAGTATATATACTTTATATATTAAAATTGAAATAGATAAATATCTTCTTTGCATTGTAATTGTTATTGGCTCAGACTTTGTGATGTCATTTGCGACTGTGTACCATTCGAAATTTCTTGGTGTGCCACGTGTAGCATGTGTTCTGTAGGTTGCTGACTCCTAGTCTAAAGTATATTATATTTTCTGCATTGTATATAGCATATGCATTCGCATATTTTAGGCTGGTGTTTTATAAGGAATTCATTTTTAGTTTTTCAGGCCAAAATGCAACACTCATGGGCTAAAGATTGCATTCAAGCATAAAACAGTCACCACTTTGCATTGACCTCAGCATTCACTTATATATATATATATATAAGTGAACACTGAAGTCAACATTTAGAGGCAACAAGCTGTTTCATGCTAGATGCAATTGTCAGGCCACTGATGATTACGTCTAGCATGATACAGATTGTCACCTCTGAGTGTTGACTTCAATGTTCACTTTTATATTTATATTTACATTGGTTCTATCTCTGATATTGAGCACTTTATCCTATAAATATAGCACACCTTAAAACTATATTTCTTATATATATATATATATATATATATATACTTGACTATCTCGTCGAATGTGATGTATGACAGTCAAGCAGATCAGACTGACAACAGCACATAAGATTTGATTATAGTGGTGAAGGTTTCGTGGAGGACCATCCACACATTTTGTAGGGCCGAATACAGAGACCTGGTGCCATGACCCTCTGCAGGTTTTGAATTCAGAGTTGTCCTTCTCCTAGACCAGTTGCCATCCAAGGCTATTGTTGTGTATGATACACCTAATTTACATAAGCGGACTACCGACCATATAAATATGGGTTGGTACCGGAAGACGGGGAAGATAGTAGAGATTAAGAAATTGAATCCAGAGACTCTGCCCGACTGCGATTTAGTCAACCCATTATGCAGGAACAGTCTTCCCAAGAATATACCAAACTAACTGTAAATATTGTGTACCTATTCTTTGTTTCAATACATTTTGTTAACGTACATTTTGTGTTGTATTATTCCATGCTTATTTAAGCTTCAACAGCTATATAACCCAGTTTGTCCTGCTATTTACCCATAGCTGGAGGTAGAAGAAGCGGATTCATACTTTTCCCAATAGTATTAACACATAAGTGAATGTAATGGATTCAACTGGAATTTAAACTTGGCTCTCCGATTCCTCAATCCAAGCTTTCTATCCATTACTCAACTTACCTAATATATATATATATATATATATATATATATATATATATATATATATATATATATATATATATATATGTGTATATATATATATATATATATATATATATATATATATATATATATATATACAAAAGTTGTATGGATATTAATGTGTGACTCTGGGTTCATTAATGTTTTGCAATCATCTGACAAAATGGTTTACTTTTTGAAAAAAAAAAATGAATTTATTCATGTTTATTTGTGTTTGATTATGTTTGGTGCTGGGGGTGGGGAATTTTCCTCAGTATTTGTTTGGGATTTTATTGAAATTATACACATACACACACACAGGTGCACCTGTGTGTCTATGATGCATATATATATATATGTTTTATGTATAGAGTTCATCTCAAACAAACACAAAAAATCCCCCCACCATGACCAAACAGCAGGATCACTAACTAATATCCATATAACTGAATATGTTAGCTCTATCACTGATAGTGATGCACTTTCCACTAAGAACTGTGCATATCATATATATATATATATATATATATATATATATATATATATATATATTACACACACAGAAAAATGGAAGAAATTTACTTAATTTTGTGTTCTAATGTCAAATAGATAATGAGACATGATGTAGAAGTTCACAAAGAAACTTTCTGGAAAACATCTTTCACTATACCCATGTACCTTCAGATTCCTAAGTTTCATTTTCCTTTGTCTATTACAAAATGGCACAATTGCATTTCTGAGCCTGCTTGATTTTTATATTCCCAATATTTTAAGTTGTTTCATTTACCGACAACCATGCATTTTGTCTTCTTATAGTTAACAGTTAGTCCTTTCTTCACACTCTTTCTTTCTTTTTTTTTCCTTCCTTTCTTCCTTTTTTTCCCAGCATATCTCTCTATCTTTGACATTTGTATTTTTAGCATTGTTTCTTCCTTTTTTTTTTTTGTTTTTTATTTCCTCATTTTTTTTCTTTGTACATCGAATGACTTTTTTTTTTTTTTTCTTTTTTAATATAAATTTTGCATTTTTGATTCTTTCTTTCATTGTTTTTTGTTTCTTTCCTGGACATTTGCATTTCTAGCTTTTCTTCTCAGCATATCGATCTCTCTCTCTCTCTTTGCTTTGCATTTCTTCCTTTCTTTGTCCTTTCTAATTCCTTCCTTCTTTTTTCTTTCTATGATATATTTCTTTCCTTCTGCTTTGAATTTTTCTTTCTTTCTTTCCTGGGCCTTTGTATTGTGAGCATTCATTCTCTCATTATTTTTTCTGTTCCTATTAAACATTCCTTTTTTATTTATTTATTTCCTCATTCATATTTTGAGTTTTCTATCTTTCTGTCTCTCTTTCTTTTTTTTTTTTTAGACTCATTATTATTCCATTCCTATCATACATCTTTCTTTCTTTTTCTTTCTTTCCTGGACATTTGCTTTTGAGCTTTCTATCTTTCTCTTTTTTTACTCATTTTTTTTCTATTCCTATCATACATTTCTCTTCCTTTCTTTCTTTCTTTCTTGGACATTTGTATTTTGAGCTTTCTATCTTTCTGTTTCTCTCTATTTTTATTACTCATTATTTTTTCCATTCCTATTACATATTTCTCTTCCTCCTTCCTTCCTTCCTTTTTTTTTCTTTCACACATTACTGAACAATAGATTGTGTACAAATAATCTTTTACGTCTTCTCCTCCCTGCTACAACATCAATATCTCATGTTAAAAAAAAAACAAAAAAAAAAAAAATGCCTTTGTTTCTCTTTCGGTGAATGCTTGAATGAATCCTTCAGCAAACACATGAATGACAGCCACATTCGCTGCGCTGTGGACACGTTCATTGCAAATCTTCAGGATCTCATTGTCCGAGGACACTTTCAGCTAATTATGTTTTTTGTCACCATTCATAACATGTGACAAGGGAGATAACCCAGTGGCCACGTAAATCTCCAACTCCTGCAAGCCTCACACGAGATAATCAACTTTGGCAATTCTTCTGCCTTACAATGAAATGCACTTTTATATTCATAGTTATTTGTGTGACCAAAGCCTAATAGATCTTATCCAAATATGGATCCTGGGGTCTACTGATAAAAATCTAATCAACGTGGGGTAAGGAAGAAGCAGGGCACAGTTTTTCCAGCTAATTTCTTTTCATGTTTATATCTCGTGTTTGTCAGCTTAAAAAAAATTAAAGGAGAAAAAAAAAATCAGTTAAATGGCAGGAATTTGTTCCTGAGATGACAAGAAATTTAT